CACTTTCACGAAGCCGGGAACTTGTCCTGAATGTCAGGTGGGGCAGAGCATGCCTTTGTCTTCATTTGTGTTCCCCGATACACGACTAGCATCTACTACACTGTTTAACACATGTACTCGCACCGGCAGCTGGTGCGCGCATTCCTCCGGTCGCACGTACGTACAAACAGTTGCCAGCTACAGGTAACGATATTCAATGACATTACGTAAGTAAAACGAAGATTGATGTTAATTAAGACTTATCAAGATACTGCCATTGCAGATACATACACATAGAAAGAGTGAAAGGAACAGGGAATTAGCTTTCCCGAATCCCTCCGACCCCTTCCACATTTCGGCACAACAACACGAGAAATGCAATACCATCACCGCACCTCTCAGGAGAGTGAGAGGTAGCGGTTGACGTGTCCCCGGACGGGTGAGCAAGGCGACTCTGCACTGACATGTGATCGCCTGTGCTACAACAAAATCGGCTTCGAGTTTGAAGTGTCGCGGGAGTCGGGGCACGAATCCACATGAAGGCCCGCGCTCACTCCGCATAGGAGCCTGGGAGTTCATGTTTCGCAGAGCCATGCAGAGCCTACTCTTGCCTGCCTGCCAGGCCCTTTGGGCCAAATATGCCGCCCGCACAGAAGAGCTGCTGTCAGAGTTGCGTTTCGAGGAGGTTGGAATTCGAACGCATCTTGAGCGAGCATGATCTTAGCAGCTTTAGGACGTAAATCGTGCACTTCGTTCAGGTCTGCTGCACAAGCTGCCAGAACTGCTTTCCAAGATTTGTAGGGCTCCAGAGTGTAACATCCACGGTCCCCCTGTTGAAGCAGAGGGTGATGTTGGTTTTCCTGTCATCTACTACCGAGGTGATCCTAAGTGTAGGCGGCTACATGACGGCAGTGGCGGCAGCAGCAGCAGCAGCAGCAATGACAAAAACAAACATAATTGCGTCTTTTCGCCTTCGACTGTGGCATTCCCGCATTGTTTTGCACGTCTGTAGTGCAAGCCAAGAAAATCTGGCTAAGTCGGATGGGCTTCATCTCTGTCAGGCGGCTCGCTTCGCGTCAGCCTTCTCCACGGCCAGATACGTGAGGGATCCCACCCTATAGGCCTATAGGAATTGCATGGAATTGCAAGCCGGCAAAGCGGTCGGTTAAATGCGGACAGCAACATACAGTTTACAGATTACAGAGGCACCAGAATACTGCCCAGGTTGACTTTGCATTGTTTGCGAAGCTGTCAGCGAGAGTCTCAGGTCATTCAGTCCATGCTTTCAGCTCTGTCTGACGTGGATCTACCCAACTTAGGCTAGGGCGTTGGAGTGCTTGCCGCAACAGGCCGTGCATTTGCGAGTAAGCTGCATCGTGCTGCGAGCCAAGCCAGGAAGCGGAACTGATCTCTGCGCAAGACCTTCGACGAATGGCAATCGCCTGTGGAAAGGCTCAAGCCTTCGACAGCGATTTACTCGAGGCAAACCACAAACAGAATGGAGGGCATTTTCCGAGTCGGAAATTGGGAAGAACATGTGGCTGTCAGGGCATGGTGCCTTTGATCGCGGATCGAGTTCAAGAGTTCCGCCCTCGTGAGCTTGTGCACATTGCGGACGCTTATGCCTCGCAGTCGCACTTAGCTCTACACACATCCGAGCAACTGCAAGTCAAAGTTGACTCAACTGAGGCGCGGATGCCTGTGCTTGGCCAAGATGTGGTATCAAATGGCACCCTCAAGCATCAGGATATATCAGGATCTTGCGACACCGGAACAGGTGCAAAATCCAGAGCTTTTCGCGCTTGTGCGGGGCTCAAAGTTCTGTCAGTCTCCTGCGGCTCTAGTAGCTCTTCCTCCTCTCAACTCTACTCCCTGCTCATCCTGCTCTGCATGTCAACGATATCTGTCTCTGCGGTAGGGGTCATTGTTCGCCTAGTATGCTGGAAGTGACAATCCAGGATAATGATATCTCTCGTTTCACGAAATGTCAAGCCATTTTGCGTCGCTCAGGTTGCAGAAGCCCTGCCCCGTTATCTCTACGATTTGACTCCGCCCGAACTGGCCAGCCTTTGCAGAAGCTTTGCCGAGGCACCGGCATGATCACATCGTGCATCATCATACAGAGCGGAACAAGACACACTCTCAGAGGCAGCGGTGTTCAACGAGGATCTTGCCGATGCGCTTGGGGCGGAGGTGGAGACACAAACGTCGCATCCGATCACTTCGGGTGGCAGCGGAGGTCTCAAAGAGATCCAAAAGCTTCGGCGCCATGGAGTGCCTGGTCTTCCTCGACGCCCTCTCGCGGCTCCACGAAGGAATGCCTGAGGCCGGGATGGGACGGGCCCTGCGGCCTGGCCTGGGGCCTTGTCACCCCTCCGGCATTTCGGGGGCGCAGGAGCTACGAGCCTCTCGCAAAGAACGCGATGCGGAGGTCGTCGTGGGAAGCTCGGTATGAGTGCGGATTAAATGCACAGCAGCCGCAAATTTAGTACTTACGATGCCTGTAGCACATCAGATTTATCATAAATGATGAGATTCGGTTCCTCCTTGGCCAGAGCGCCGCAGCTTCAGCAGATCGAGTTGAAGCAGAAAAGCGGGAGCAGCCGTAGTAGACAAAAGTCGCATCTGCAGAATTAGTGAGCATGAGTTGCAGTAGGCATCGTCGTGGCGGAAGTAGAGCTGCAGCAAGAGGTGAAGGCAGCTGCAGTCGTATCCGTTGTCGTACCGAGCGACGAATGTAGCATCAGTACTGTAGCTGCAGCATGTATCAGGTGTGTCGCGGTGGCCTTGGTGGCGGCAGCAACTGCACTGTCGGTGCAGCGGCTGCAGCAGCGCTAGCACTAGCACTAGCAGACTAACAGTTGTCGTCTCTCATGAGAAGAACAAGTGGTAGCAGTAGCGGGAGCAGCGGTAATAGCAGTCGGAGAGTGGTTGTGACAGCAGCAGCCAGCAGCAGCAGCAGCAGCAGAGCAGTGGTGGTAGTAGTAGTAGTAGTTGTTGTTGTTGTTGTAGTTGTAGTAGTTGTAGTAGTAGTTGTCGTGGTGGTAGTAGCAGTGGTTGTAGTAGTAGCAGTAGCCGTAGTAGTAGTAGTAGTAGTAGTAGTAGTAGTGGTAGTAGTAGTTGTTGTTGTAGAAGAAGTAGTAGTAGTAGTAGTAGCAGTAGAAGTAGTAAGACTAATAGAAGCACAAGTAGAAGTA